CTCTTCTAAAAACACATCAGGTCCATGCAGAGGTCAGGTCTTACTGTCACATATTTAAAGACATTCCTACAATCATCTTACCTGATGACACCCTGTATCAAAATGTCCAAATATACTGCCTGATGTGAAAGATATTTTTAGGAGACCTGAGATGAAAGACTTTTAGGTAGTGGGGCTCTCCCTAGGGAACAAGCATGAGGAACTAGTTACAACTCAACTTCTCTCCCTTTGGTAAATGAAGGGCAAGACTTGGGTGCCATTGCTGCATTTTCTTAGTGAATTGAGCTCTGTAATGCTAACTTCAGCCATTTATGGACAATTTGTTGTGGATGAACTTTAACATAGCACATTTATCCATGTGTCCTAGCCCCTGTCTCATTCTAGTGAAGCTTACAGAAGGCAGATGTGTGTGCCTGTCAATCAGACAAATGTATATATACTTCAATTCAGGGTGTTTGGTAAAGGGCTCGCATGCTTGTAATGTGAACCTCAGAAAATCAGTTTGATTTGTCACAGTGCTGATTTATTTGACAAATGGGCAGACTTTGTAAATCACCTAGATGTAGTGAAACTTAAAGCTGGGTGTATCAGTGACAGGATGTTTCAGACAGATACTGAAATATACTTAATTTGTAGTTTCACAGCTGTAGGGTGTCTGGGATCAATCCTAAGGAGCTCTGTGGTTCTTGTTGTGCTGCCTTTCTTGTTACATCTCCTAGTGCTGCTCTGCACTCAGGTTTTACCTCCACTGAGGATGCCTTGCTAACAAAGCTGTGGAACAAGAAGACATGCAGATAGAGATCTCTAGAATAAACAGCTCTTCTGAACTGTGGGTCACTAGGCAATGTAACTTTTGAAGTAAGCCTAGAAAACTAACACATACATTTTTATGAGGAACCTTTTCCTGGTCCTTCTGCCCATTTCCCAGGTCTGTGGGCACATGCATCGTGCTAAGTGCAGCACTTCAGAGCAGTCACCTGTCTACTGCTGATACCTTGTGGGAATAGGAGCTGTCAACTATCCACCCTTTCCCATCTTTTTCTTCAGTGGTGCCAAGTGGAACTGGGTCCTCAGTGACTTGCCTGGCTGGCTGGAGATTTCATTAGCCATTAAATATTGCACAAACCCCCTACCCTACCTTCTCTAGTGTACCTAACATGGCAAGCTGTGGTGGAGAATGGGAGCACAGGCCATTCCCAAAACCAAAATTCAGTTCTCTGTAGCTTTTAGAAATTACTTTGGTCTAAGGTATGATCTTGATGGTTATCAAGTGCAAAGTGTGTGCATTTATGGATGCATGAGACCAGACAAAATGGGGTGTGAAATTCTTAGCTGCAGATACACTCCATAGGATCCACTGCACAATACAGGGATATATCATCTGGTCATAAACAAGAAGTTTCAATTAGCAACATGAACTGAGGGCTGGTTATCTTCTCATCCATTTGTCCCGCAGCTGGGTTAGTTATCCAGGCAGTGATGAGCTCTTAGCTCTCACTCTTACACAATTCCCAGCACCAGTTTAAAAATAACTTGGTTGCGCCCACGTGAACCGCAGGCCTTGCAGTAACAGCAAGGGTGGGACAGCACTCACATTTAAACTTCATCCTCACTGCAGAGCTCTGGGAAAAATGCTCTTTGTAACCAGATGGTGAGAATGCGAGGGCAGCCCATGCAGAAGGAGCAAAGAGTTTATTCTTTGGCTAGTAGTCCAGCAATTGTTGGCAGGTATCAAATTATCAAGCTGGGCTCTTCTCTTGCCTGCCCTGTTGGAAAGCAAAGCTCTGCATGTCTGAGAGTACATCAGTATTTCATAACTGTGCTGTTCCAGTGATCTCCCTGGAAATATCCAGGTAATTTAAGCACTAAGCCTTGGGTTTCCAGCTGGAGAGTGAAGACCTGGAAGAGGAACAGCATAAGCAAACGAGCTGGCCAACTTTTTGATGGGTTTGGGAAGTTCCTGAGTGGCTCTGTAGAGCTCCACTACGTCTGCTGATAGAGGACCAGCCTCAAAAGGTTTGAGAGTGCCTCTGGGTGAAGGTGCCATCCCTGATGGCTGCCATCAGACATTGCCATTTCCCCACCAGCCAGCCCAAGCAGATGAGACACGATTGGGTTCACACAGCCTCACACTTCAGCTGCATGAGTTGGTTCCTCTGCGCTGGGCTCTGTCATAGGCCAGACCTACCACTGCATCAATGGATAATGCAAGAAATCCCTCATCAAGTAGGCTTTCCACCTCCTGTCTTCCCAACAAACATCTTTTCCTAACTCAGTGCTCTCCTTTGTAGGGTTTTAAATTCAAGAAGTATTCTGCTTGAAGTTTTGCAAGGGTTTGGCAAACACAAAAGCCAGGATGTGCTGGCTGTTTTCAAATTGCCCTTGGAATGAGCTGTGATCAAAACCAAATTCCCTCCTCTTCAGTGCAGTTTCCGGCCCTCCACGTGTGAGCTCCCACTCTTCCCAAGTATGCGTTTATAAAAGACCCCTAATGAGAGGATGATTAGGGTGAACATTTGCCCTTCAGCAAAGCCCTGCAGTGCTTTTGCACAAGAAACAAGAGCTGGTGGGGACTGGAAGCAGTTGCTGTGTTTGTGTTGACTGGCCATGGTTTTCAGCTGCTGGGGGTTTCCAAAGCAAATGAAACGTTAATCATCAAAGCAGCTTCCCCCCCCCCCACTTCCAGTTGTTGAAAATACTACAAAGTAAGATGGAAAGAAACATGTAATCCTTCATCATCACAGTGAGGATTTACTTGTTTATTTAGATTCCCTGTCTGTTCCAAATGTTCTGCCAGAGAAAGTCCATCCAGGCTCCAGGAGTGCTTGACACACATAAAAAAAGAAAAAATCTTGATCTACATAGGAGATAAATCCAGAGCAGACACTGACTTTCCTCAAAGTGCAGCAATCAGCTGGAAGTCCTACTTGCACTATAAAATATCTCTGGATGCTTTTTGTAGGAAAAAAAGGAAGGAGGTGCATCACCCTGGACAGAAATAGATTTAGATGGTGGCTTCTCTAGGTCAGAAATGTTATGGTGGGGTTGTCCTTGAGCCCCATGCACCTCATCTGTTTCTGTTTGGAAAATGTTGCCCAGGTAGAAAAAATGGAACTTAGTGCCTTTGCAGTCAGTGAAAAGAAAGAGTTGTGTTTAGAGGCTGATTCCTCCCACCTCCCTAGGAGCTGGAGATCACTGTCTTGAACAGTGTCTCCCCCTGAAGACATTACAGGAGAAACCAAAAGAGAGGAGCCCAGGCCTGATTCTCATGTTTAGCAGCTTAAGAGAAGGCAGCTGAATCCTGTCCCAGTGGACAATGTGTGTCAGGAGCACAGCTCCTTTGCTTTGACACTTACACATCAGCCTTTGTAGCTGGTGTTTCTCGTCGCATTCCTGTCGCTGCACCTGCAAGCAGGGGGTAAGTCAGAACCAGGAGAACTGTAAGAATGGCAATCACATATAGCAGAGAGGAGATAGACCTCTGGGTTATCCTAGGATGAAGTAATAGAGGAAGACCACTCATCCAACAGATGTTTTACATTTGAGCCATCATCCAGCCCAGTGGGTTTGAATTGCCCTCTTGGCCTCTGATGCCTTGGGTGAAGCACTTTTGAAGCTGCCTCCTTTTTTTGTTGTTTGTTTGTTTGGCTGGTTTTGTTGTTGTTGGGATTTTTGTGTGTGTGTTCGTTTTGTTTTGTTTCTCTCTAACGGCAACAGGTGTGAGTGGACTCAATGATCTTAAAGGTCTTTTCCAACCGGAACAGTTCTGTGGTTCTGTGAGTGGACATCAACAGCTGGATGTCTGTACTGGGGACAATATTGCAACAAGCTGGCAGTGGGTAGAATGGGAGGGGCAGTTTTCAGACACTGACCCCAAAAATAAGTAACTTCTGTCAAAATTATGGGATCTTGGATGCTCCTAGAAGCTTCTGGGATTTCCCCCATTAGGGTTTCATCTGAAAGAAGCCCATATAATGAGATATTTAAGACAAGGCTTCTTGAAAACACAAAACAACCAAGTCTGTATTTTGCAGGTGCTGTTTTTGTATGTTGACATAAAGAGCAGACAAGCTCACTTCAAAATCTGGAGTTTCTGAAGGGCTGCTAAGCTGAATCAAATTTTTTCCAACAGTGACAGCCCTTGGCCTGAACTTCAGCTTCATACCAGAAACCATAAAATCATAGAATAGTTTGGGTTGGAAAGGACTTTAAAGATCATCTAGTTCCAACCCCCTGCATGGGTGGGGACACCTCCCACAAGACCAGGTTGCTCAAAGCCCCATCCAACCTGGCCTTGAAGACTTCCAGGGATGGGGTAGCCACAACTTTCCTGGGCAACCTGTTCCAGTGTTTCACCACCTTCACAGTAAGGAGTTTCTTCCACCTTCTTCCCCTCTTCCACCTTAAAACCATTACCCTTCATCCTATCACTACACACCCTGGTAAAAAGCCCCTCCCCAGTTTTCCTGTAGCCCCTTCAAGTACTGGAAGGTGCTACAAGGTCTCCCTTGAGCCTTCTCTTCTCTAGGCTGAACAGCCCCAACTCTCCCAACCTGTCTTCATAGGAGAGGAACTCTGATAATCTTGGTGGCCCTTCTCTGGACTTTCTCCAAGAGCTCTATGTCCTTCCTGTGTTGAAGGCTCCAGAGCTGGACACAGTACTCCCAGGTGGGGTCAATAGGAAATGGGGCAGCCTTTCTCCATAAGCTCAGCGTAGCCTCAGTGGGCTGGACACGTCTGTCAAAATGGCTCATAATAGTAATTGTGAATCACTAGGGTCATTATGACCTACAGTTTTGGGTCTTACCTGAACACAGGAGTGAGAGAGAGGATTTTAGTAGAAAAGGTTTTTTAAAAAATTAGAATTTCAAAAGAAAAAAGGATCTTCTTTTGAAGAGCTCTGAGGTGTTTGAAGGAACACCTGAATTACCCTTTGCTTTAGTAAGTTTTCTTTCGTGTCAAGCTAACCTGTTGCTATTCTGTTTCTGCTTTCCCCTCAGCTGATGTGTTCCTCAGTGCAGAAAGCCCTGTTTGAGGAGGAGGACAGGGTGAAGAAGCTGCAGCAGAAGGTGGCGACGCTGGAGAAGCGCAACAAGCAGCTGCGAGATCGGGTGAAGAAAGTCAAGAGGTCTCTCCGGCAGGCCAGGAAAAACACCAGGCACATGGAGCAGATGAACCGAAAGCTCAGTGAGAAACTTTCCTCTGCAGGTGGTCAAATCCCCTACATTAACTCTCTGAAGCAGGAGAACTCCCATGCTACCTACCTTAAAGTATAATGCCAGGGCAAGTGCTCAGGCCAATGATAACGGCAATTTTTGCCTGTGTTAGATCAGGATCTGGCCCTCACACCTTGTCTACACTTTGCTTCAAACCTTGCATGGAAAATGGATCTGGACTTGCTTTAGCCA